GTCTGTCTTGATTTTATAAACCTCTATAAGGTCACCCCTCAGCCTCCAATGCTCCAGAGAAAATAGCCCCAGCCTATTCAGCCTCTCCCTATAGCTCAAGCCCTCCAACCCTTGCAACACCCTCGTAAATCTTTTCTGAACACTTTCAAGTTTCATAACATCCTTCAATTAAAAAAATTAATTTGTTGCATCAACGATTTAACGTGAAATTTCCTCTTTTATGTGAAATATCCTTGACCTGTTAATTAATTATGAATTATGTTGGTTTTAGTTGGTTTGTTACTGTTTTCAAAAAATGAAAATTTGTTTAGCAGTTTTCTCTCCATTGATGCTTTGAGGATTTGTTTCTTCCCAAAAGTTATAATTCTTCTTAGAGATTGTAGTACACACTGAACCCACAGTGCACTGGTGGCAGAGAGAGCAAATGTTTAAGATGGTGGGCACATTCTGATCAAGAAGGCTGCTGTGTACCAAATGGTGTCAAGCTATTTCAAAGTTGTTGAAGCAGCACTCAGCCAAACAAGAAGATGGTTTTCAACACACTTTTGACTTGTACTTTTTATTTGTTGAAAAGACTCTGGGAGTCAGAGGATGAATTAGTTGTTGCAGAATTCCCAGCCTGTAATTCTTTTTGTAGCCTGTGTTTACGGGTCTGGTCCATTTACATTTCTTGTCAGTTGAAAGTAGAACCACCTCAACAAGTGTTTAGAATTACTCCTGTTGGAGATGGTCATTGCCTATAACTTGTGTGGTGGGAAAGTTACTTACAACATATCAACTCAAACATGTGTGTTATGAATCTTACTGCAGGCAGGTATGGACTGCTTCATTATCTAGTGGTGGATATAGATTGAAGAACAGTTTTCAGAATGGAATTGGAAAACTTGGAGGAGGGAAAGTTTGTAGAGGTATGGGAAAAAGACAAGCAAAGGGACTATTTCGAAAACTCAATTGTAAAGCCAGCACAAGCGTGATGGCCTGAGTGGCCTCCTTCTGTACTACATCATTTTATGCTTACAATCTGAAATCCAATGCACTGAAAAGGAGCTTAGTTTATCAGTGACTTTAATCATAGGCCTTTATTGAGGGCTTTTTTTAAAAAGGCTTATTTTGAGCTATCAGTTTTTATGTGTTTTACAGTTTTACATATATAGCCAGTTCTGCTATAGTGTGTGTTCCGGCAATGCAAATAGGGGAATGCTATTTCTAAAATGTGTACTTGTGTTGGCTATAGTGCATTTCCATCAATGCACGGAAGAGTACATGTCGACATCACATAGTTATTTTGCGGGCATGCAATGAGGAATCTACGTTTTAATGAATGAAGCACATGCTCCAGGCTTTAAGGTGACAAAGGGTCATATGACTGTGCTGCTGGTGCCAATGCCAGTGGAGACTTAAAGCTTAAGCCTGTGGTGATGTACCACTCTGCCAACTTGCAAGCCCTGGAAGGTTACCTTAAATCTACTCTAGGCATCTACTTTAGGTCAAGCAAAAGAGGTTGGATGATGGGGCAAATTTTTTCTGACCTTATCATTGATGTTTTCAAAGATGTTTTTAGAAAGTATTGCAGGAAAAAAAATGTGGATTTCAAGATTCTCCTCATCCTGGACAATGCACAAGCCATCATCCCACCGTTGGTGAGCTTTTTGAAAACATCAAAGTGCTATTTCTACCCCCAAGCGCAACCTCTCTCCTTCAACTCATGGACCAGGATGCAATAGCAGTTTTTAAAGCTTGTTATTTTAAGGCGCACATTTAAGAGGCTGTTTGCAGCCATTGAGGGGGACAAGGACAGTGTTCTTCGATTTTGGAAGAGCTTTAACATCAAGAATGTTATAGGGCGGCACGGTGGCACAGTGGTTAGCACTGCTGCCTCACAGCGCCAGGGACCCAGGTTCGATTCCAGCCTCAGTCAACTGTCTGTGAGGAGTTTGCACATTCTCCCCGTGTCTGCGTGGGTTTCCTCCCACAGTCAAAAGATGTGCAGGTTAGGTGGATTGGCCATGCTAAATTGCCCATAGTGTTCAGGGAGGTGTAGATTGGGTTGTAGGGGGGTGGGTCTGGGTGGGATGCTCTGAGGTTCGGTGTGAACTTGTTGGGCCCAAGGGCCTGTTTCTACACTGTAGGGGTGATTCTATGAAGAATGCAGTTGACATTATCATAGAGGCCTGGGGTGATGTCAGTAAGGACTGCTTGCAGGCAGTTTGGCAGAAGCTTCTCCCTTTTTTTTCAAGATTTTAAAGGCTTTGATCTGTTAGAGGAGATCCCAAGAATCAAAGAACATTGTATTGATCTTGCAAAGCAAGTTGGATTTGAAGACGTGGAGAGTGAGGATGTTGAAGAGCTGCTTGAGTCCCACTGTGAAAACCTCTCTACAGCTGATCTACAGCAACTTGTCGTCGAGGGGCAAGTGGAAGCTGGAGATGAAGAAGAAGTCCAGGATGCAGTACCACGAGAATCTCCAATTCTGTTTTGTCTTCTATCCTGAGGGAAATTGAGAAGCAGCTGCAGCTCTTAGAAGACAACAGTTACAATGCAGAAGGCAGCAGGGTAGCAGTTCATGGAATAAGATCTTATTTGGCACCCTATGAAGAGCTGCTTCATGAAAGACAAAGGGCAAAGCAGCAAAAACTGGATGTCTTTTTTAAGCCAACCCTTAAGAAACAGTCAGAAGACAATGAACCACTGCCATCCACTTCTGGATTAACTATTTTTCACCCTAACCCTGCAACCACAACTGCACCTGAAGGTGATGATGATGATAATGATGACCCTCAGCCCCTGCATTAACAACAGAGCAACCTCAAAACCTCCCCTCCCATCAAGTCATTGTGACATTTTTTCAAGTAGTGTTAAATTGACTTTTATTTCATTATTAGATAAGAATTTAACATTTATTCAAACTGTGCTATCCTTTGTGTTCGGTTTTTGAGCGATTGAGTGATTTTTTTTGGTAGTCTGCCCCTAACTCTGCTTTTCCCCATCGGCCCCGTTATTTCTATAGCATAATTTTCTGTAACGCGATGTTGCGCTGGAATGCAACTATCGCATTATAGCAGAACCAACTGTATGCAGTCCTTTGGCAATAATAATCCTCACAGAAAGCATTATATCTGATGAATCACAAGCTTGATATGGCAACTGCTCTGCCCAGGACCGCAAGAAACTCTGGAGGGTTGTGAACACAGCCTAGTCCATCACACAAGAGAACCTTCCATCCATTGACTCCATCTACACTTCTCGTTGCCTTGGAAAGCAGCCAACATTAGCAAAGACCCTTCCCACCCCAGTTATAATCTCTTCCGCAGACAGAAGATAAAAATAGTTAAACATATACCAACAGGTTCAAGATTAGCACCTTCCTGCTGTTATTAGACTTCTGAATGGACCTCTCAAATTTCAAATCTAATGTTGATCTTGCTTTTTGTGCACTTTTTATTTACAGCCGTAATTTTCTACTCCTTGCTCTGTTCTATCACGCAATGATCTTTGGATGGTATGATCTGCCTGTACTGCATACAAAACAAAACTTTTCACTGTACCTAGGTACATGTGACAATAATAAAGCAAATCTAAAATCAAATCATCTCTGCAGTCCTTATCTGCACTGCACCCAAGGTGTAGATACCTCCTTTGCATTTTGGCAATCGGAACTAAATGTAGAATGAGGCCATACCAGAGCTAGGAGCACAGTTTAGTACAAGACATAAGCTCTACTGAGTTCCAGTTCTGAGGCAGAACTTCCAGTTCTGAGGAAGGGTCACCCGACCCGAAACGTTAACTCTGTTTTCTCCTTCACAGATGCTGCCAGACCTGCTGAGCTTTTCCAGCAACTTTGTTTTTGTTCTTGATTTACAGCATCTGCAGTTCTTTTGGTTTTTATAAGCTCTACTTAGTTGTTATTACAGTTCAGCAGTCTGTTACTTTAAGTGCTCATCTGGAATGATTAGACACAGTTATGATTGAAAGTACAATAATTTGTAACAAAAACAGAAATTGCTGGAGAAATTCAGCAGGTATGGCAGCACCTGTAGAGAGAAAGCAGAATTAAAACTGACCCTTTTTCAGTTCTGACTTTGCTTTCTCTACAGAGATGCTGCCAGACCTGCTGAGTTTTTCCAGCAAGTTCTGTTTTTGTTTCTGATTTCCAACATCTACAGTTTTTCGTTTACTTCAATTCCTAGATCAGTCTCATGCCAAGTTAAGTCTAACCTAGGAAAATCATTTTTATTTTGGAGAAAATAAAGTTTCCCTGTCAAAAAAGAAATGGCTTCCCCACTTAGAGGATCTTAATCAGGCAATCAAGGAGAAATAGCTAACAGAGGAAAGGGAGACCTAGTTCCACAAAACACGTTCTGAGTTCTGACAAAGGGTCACCGGACCCGAAACGTTAACTCTGTTTTATCCTTCAGATGCTGCCAGACCTGCTGAGCTTTTCCAGCAACTTTGTTTTTGTCCACAAAACACGTGTAAAGGTGGCTTTATTGCATTCCTTTATGGGCTTAAGACGTAGCCACTCACCCGATTCAGGGTGTCGGATCAACCCCTACAGCAGATATTTGAGCGCCCAATCTCTCAGGTGGATGTAAAAGATCGTGTGGCTCTAGGGGTATTTAGAAGAGCGGAGTTATCATTACTGCCTAGGCCAAAATTTGTCCATCAATTCAAAAGCACAGCAAAAACAGATTCTCTGGTCACTATAACATTTTCGTGTGCTCTATTTCCTATGCTACCACAGTGACTATACCTCAAAAGTACTTCTTCAGTGGCTCATAAGGCGATTTGGAAGCGCCTGGTGGTCGTGAGAGGCGCTGTATAAATGTGTGTTGTCACCCTTCACAGCTGTTAAAATCTAATTTTAAATACGTACGAATATTCCTTGTGCTGACTCAAACCTCACGGTAATAATACGTAATTGGAAAGGGGGTGGGGAGAAGAATCTTCGCTGCGGGTACACTGAGTCACATCGAAAAATTCGGTCGGCTAAATTCTGTCCGGCGGATTGGCCGTCTTCCAGAAGCAGTTGCGCCTTTAACAAAAGCGGTCGGAGTCGCTTGGAAGAGCAAATGACGGCTTCAAACAAAACCGGGGGAAAGGGAGGAGGAGGAGAGAGCGAGGGGCAAATGAAATCTAATCCGTATGAGGTGTGGTCGTTGATGTGTGTGGGTTGGAGGCAGGCGGCTGTGAAGTGTTGGACGGTGTGAGCAAAGGGAAAAAGAGAGACAACGGAGTAGATGCGCCCCATTACCATGGCGAGGGGACTGCTTTCCTGGGCCTCGCTGAGGAAGATCTGTGGTAGCCACTACTATATTCAGGTAAGGTTCGTCCGACTAACGTAGACAACACATCCCGAATTACATGCTGCAGGGGAAAGTGGCTTGGAATTTTTTAAAAAAAAAATCACTTACCAGTCTTTTTGGAAAATTTGAAAACGGCCAAGCGGCTGTCAGTCACGTGACTTCGTGTCTATCCCGCCGGCGGCCCGCGCTCTCCATGGAGACCCCGGGAGTCAATGAATGAATAAATAAATGAATGAATGAATGGCTGTGGCGCAGTGGGAGGATAGCAACCTACACGCACTCACCTTTGCAATAGATTCACATTGTGCGTTTTTAAAACTTGGTGTGTGCATATAAAACGTACTTGATGTGCGCGCATCACCGGTGTTGACTTGTCTTAAGTGTCCCTATTAACATCAATTTATGTTATGAAAATGTTAGCCTTCTTTGTACCCAATTATTTGTTGACCTAAGATTTTTCACGCTCTATTAAAAGTCTGTGCAACAAGATGCAGCGGTAGTGTTTCATTTTCCTGCAGTAGCTGTATAATGTATTAACCGGGATGGATATGGATTTGTGCTGAAAATAATGAAGCTTGCGGTTTTTGCAGTTAATTTGCAGCGCAAGCCATTTTATAGCGACTATGGCTGATCTACGTGAAATGAAACTAAATCTTGTTTTACGACTTGCCTTCGGTTCCCTTGAAATATACTTAGTTTCTTTTTAATTTCATTTTGTCATTTCTTTGAACTGGGTAACTGCCAGATTATGTTAAAATGAGATGATGTTTCCCAAAAGAGGGATTTGAATCATTACGGCACATTTTTGTAAACCTTGGAAGGGTGACGCACTTGTTAACTATGAAATATTCAATGAAAATAGAGGGGTCTGTTGCTATGTCCCGATTTTATTCTCCTGTAAATCGTTATGTAAAAAATATTCAGACAAGGCATCGCTATTAACGATCCGCTTACTCTTGGATTGTAGAGTGATTACAATCCATATCGGTCCTGCCTTCACCAAAAGAGGGGGGGAAAGGACAGGATTGATCCTGAGGTCTTGCTTGACATTCACAGTCCCCGCCTGTTGGGGGGGAAAAAATCACATTTAGTTTGATCCCCGGACCGTGCTTCGGATACGATACCAAAAATATCATGAATGGCCCACATTCAATTAGATTCTTTTACTTGGGTTCCTGTTGCTGATGACGTTTTGCCTATTTTTATTTGCAAATGTTTGCATTTGCTGGGTCGAGCTAAAATTGGGCTCCCTTGCGGTAATTGCGCTCCCACCTCGGGGTGAACAGAATGGTAATATTGCGAATAGCCAGGTGTAGAGCTGGATGAACACAGCAGGCCAAGCAGCATCAGAGGAGCAGGAAAGCTGACGTTTCGGGCCAAGACCCTCCTCCTCCTGCTGTGTTCATACAGCTCTACACCTTGTTATTTCAGATTCTCCAGCATCTGCAGTTCCTACTATCTCTGGTAATATTTGCACTTGGGCTGACCTGTAAATAATGAAGTCTGATGTAAGGTACCAGTTGAATTATGTTCCAAGGGGAGAAGATCAATGTTTGCAACAGAGGAAAAGAACACTAGAACAAGCGGAATTTTAGAATCTTTTGCAGAAATAGTTTGTCAGTGTTTCTTTTGATTTATTGTCTTCCCTTGTATGATTACTTTTTTGTGCAAAATCTATTTGTCTCTTCCTAAAATTGCTCATACTTCACTTTTTGTTTGCTATCCACCAATTTCCCTGTTTTTGTTCCTCTGTGCATCATAATTTTTCCCCATTGTTCCTCTATCTCTATCTTAGAATTGTAGTATTTTTGCAGGAAGTGATGGGGATTCAGGAAGTGAGTTGATAGTTGTGTAGTGGATGCTATGAGAGAAAATTGGGGGTGGGGTGTGGCTCTGTCCATTTCACAAGTACTTTCTGCAGGCATCTGTGCTTGGTGTTGACCAGTCACAATTCAAAGGTTCATAGAATCCCTACAGTGTGGAAATAGGCCCTTTAACCCAACAAGTCCACACCGACCCTTGGAGCATCCCAGCAGACCCATCCCCCTATAACCCACCTAATCTACAGACCCTGAACACCATGAGCAATTTAGCATGGCCAGTCCACCTAACCTGCACATCTTTGGACTGTGGGAGGAACCCGGAGCACCTGGAGGAAACCCACGCAGACATGGGGAGAATGTGCAAACTGCGCACACACAGTCGCCGGAGGGTGGAATTGAACCGGGGTCCCCGTTGCTGTGAGACAGCAGTGCTGCCCTGTTCTTGTAAATATCTCATAGTCCTTGCCACTCCCTACATCTAACATTTTTCAGCCTTAAAAAATTTTTGAATCTTTGAATTCTGTCCTCTTGAGCATTCTTGAGTTTAATTATTTATTTTACTTGTTGATAGCTGTGGTTTTAGTCACTTTGACCCTAAGCCTTCCTTCATCCCTTTCTATTTCTTGACGCTCCCGAAAGAGAATCTCTTTGATAATGTTTTCTCTCCTAATGGCTCCCTCTGTAGTTTGTCAAAATTAGATTTAATAAGGTTCTTGTAAAGTTTGGGACATTGTAAAATGTTAGGAGTCCATAAATAAAACTTGTCAATTATGAAGCTGAATTACTGGAATCTTCATGGAGGAAAATACTGTGATATGAATAAACTTGTGCTGTTTGAATTGTTTCTGTCTATATTGTGTTATATATAAATTCTTTTTTATATATATATATATATATATATATCACAATTTTATGTCTATAAAATTCCTTTATCTATAATTCCATGGGCATGTTAATTTCAGTATTTATTTGCATGGTATTTTTATTTCAGTCTTGTTTTCTTATTTGAGAAATAGTGTTTGGTAACTCTTTGAAATTTACCATTCACTTATTAGAAAACTGCCCACTTGCTCTCACTTCACAATTTATTCGAAGCTTTTCTCTGGATTCTCCTTTCCAGGCTTTAAGAAACAAGTTGGAATGTTTGATCAAACAGTAGCATAATGCACAATGCCCTGTTTGCTCCCTTTATTGCCACTGCGTTCTGTTGATGGTTTTGGTAAGATATCGATTCCCACTCCTGAATACCTCAAAATTCTCATCTATCCATATCTCAGTCTTCCCTATCTCTGTAAATCCTCCAGTCCAGCATCCCTTCAAGATATCTGCCCTCTTCTTATTATGGCCTCTGGAGCACCCCCAACTTTATATACTTCAACATTGGATGTGTTGGAGCTGCTGCCAAGGCTCTGAGCCCTGGGATTGATCATTTCCCAGTGTTGCTTTATATGGCTAGGGATCAGTTTTTTTTTCCAAGGGCTGTTTGTGAGACATTTTTGAAGGCTACTTTTTTTTTGTTTTTAGGGTCCCCTTTTGCACTTTTTCTAAATCCTTTTTTAAAACATTATGTAGGTGCATATTTTGTTGAATTTTTGGGGCGTTTTCTTTTTAGAGAGGTATGAGTATAACTACCAAAGATTATGCATACAGTCTTTTAACATGGAATTGATAAGTAAGAAAAGTTTGTTAATTTATAAGGGAGGAGCAGGGTAGGCAATTGAGCCTGCTCCGTCATTTGATATGATCGTGACTGATCACCTCCTGGCCTCACCACCACGTACCTACCCACTCTCCATAACCCCTCAAACCATTACTAATAAAAAATAGTCCTTTGGGCCAGTGCTTTAAATCACATCTGCAATTAGCCTGAATGGTGGATGTCAACTTAATTTATTTTCACACTTCCAATTTTTCACACGTGGTATATTTCTTATTGACAATCTACTTTTTTCAAAATAATGGGAATGAGTTTAGAAATGGCATTTTCTATATCGTGGTTCAAGAAGTTTACCCTAGGATCAAGAATAAGCTCCCATGTTATCCAGTCAGTTTGGTTCCAACTTGGCAATAGGGCATTATAGTTTTTGAGAAGAACTGGAAGTAATACCAACCACCCCAGCAAACCGAGGCATACAAATAACAAGCAGGACAGAACACTGATGTTTCACCGGAGGCGCACTGATGAAGTTTACCTAGCAGGGTGACAAAACATTTGCAACTAAACCCACTGGCTCAGTGAGCATGTCTACAACCTCAATAGGGCACTACCTTGAGAATGTTCCCTGAAATAGAAGGAACATCAGTTTGGCACTCGGTAATTTTCCAGAAATCCTGGCCAGCCATGTGTTTTTGTAGGGACCAGGAAAGATTGGATTTGCTTTGACTGAATTTCTCCCAAGATTGAACAGCTCACTAACCTACATTAAAGTTCAAACGAGCATAGTGGACACCCTGAGTGAGGCCCTGAACAGTGAGCAGCATATGTGGACCCGTTACTATGATATTTAAACAGAGCAAGATTTATGATCATAGATTATAGACACCTACAGTTTGGAAACAGGCCCTTTGGCGCAACAAGTCCACACCGACCTTCAAAGCATCCCACCCAGACCCATCCCCCTGATCTGAACACTGTGCAATTTTGCATGGCCAATCCACCTAGCCTGCATATCTTTGGATTGTGGGAGGAAACCGGAGCACCCGGAGGAAACCCACGCAGGCTTGGGGAGAATGTGCAAGCTCCACATAGACAGTCGTCCGAGGCTGTAAATGAACCTGGGTCCCTGGTGCTGTGAGGCAGCAGTGCTAATCACTGAGCCACAATGCTGCCTTCCTGATGGGATTGCAACCATTGAGAGAGCATCATCTGAAGCTGTTGAATGGATCATTAACCTCCACAACTGCTTCTCCAGCTATATAAATAAAAAAAATTTTCAAGTGGCAGTAATTTGAATTACTACATAATTCTAAATATCATCTCTCCTAATCCCAATAATGTTTACTGAGAACTGTCTAGAGCAGCCCAGTGAATATTTTGTATAGAATTTCTCTGCAATGAGGTGTTAAAAATTCAGATTTGTTTTTAAATAGAGAATTCTCCTTTTTATTGTTGCTTGAATAAGTACTACAACTCAGAATTTACACCTCAGAAGGAAGCCATTTGCTCCATTATGCCTGTATTTGCTCTCTGTAGAGCCTCTCTTCATAACTTCCTTGGAGAACATCATGAAGTAATTGAAAATTTCGCTCAATACTTAAAGGGAACGTCCGTTGAGCTAAAAGCACAGTAGGCACTGGAAATTTGAAACAAAAACAGAAAATGCTCTCAACACGCAGCTCTGTCAGCAAGTCTGGAGAGGATGGACAAGTTCACATTTCGCTGTGTACTCTTTAGAACGTTAGCAAAGTAAGAGAGCACAAGGCATTATCGTGCAAGCATGAGAAAGAAAAAGGGCAATTTCGATAGCAAAACAAAAGATAGTTAGGGATCGTGCGTGAAATGATCCAACATTTTCTGCTTTTTGCATTAGATAAGGTTGTTTTGGAATACAATTGTTGGAGCAAAATTGCTTTGGAAATCTGAAAGACATCACAGTATACAAATATGCCTCATGCCATCATACGCAGCTAAAGCGTACATTTCATTATTTGTACAAGGTTTCAAATAGGTCATGGTTGCAATGTCTGAGTATCCTAGTGTACTACGAAAGCAAAGACTTAATTTAATGCTTTTCAAGACCACTGGATGTCTCCATTTATTTTAATATATAATATCTCAATATATTTTACAGCCGGTGAAATATTTTGTAGAGCACTCTTACAATGCAGAACAACTTTGCAAACTGCAAACTCTCATAAACAGGAATACAGTGGTAACCAGATATTTTGTTTTTTTTTTGATAAGATTGAGGGTCAAATATTGGCCAGGACACCAGCGAAAACTTCTTGATTCTTCTTTGAAATAGTGTTATGCAACCTTTTTAACTCCACAAGAGAAGACCGATAAGGTCTTGGTTTGACGTGTCATCCAAGAGAAGGCACTTCCACAATTCCTCAGAGCCTCAGTAATATATTGGAACATGTCCTTTCTTTTTGTGTTTAAGCTCTGAAGTAGAATTTCAACTTGGAATCTTGTGTTTCAAAGGTGAAAGTTTTTTACCAACTAGCCACTACAAAGATTCAGTGAAATATTTTGGGAATAGGATGTTTAGGTATGGAGAAAAATTTGAAAATTGGAATTGTTTCCACTAAAAGATAAGGTTGAAAGGAATTCAGGAGGTTGTACAAATTCTGCCACTTTTATTTTTGAAGGGTAAATGTAAAATGTAATTTACACTTGTTGGTGAGTTGGCAGCAAGACAGGTTTTGAATTCTAACAACAGGATTGAATTGGAGCTGGGTTGATTGCTTTCACGTCATAGGCCAATCTCCTTCAACCAATGCACTCCATGTGGTGAAGGTACTTGCACATTGTGGTTAGGTAGGGAGTTCGAAGATGTTTGGTTTGCTTTCTAACAACGGCCCTGTTGCCTTTGTGTTAGAATGTTTTGGATTCCAATTCCGTTTTAGAGATTTGAGCACAAAGATCTGATCTGAGCTGACAATTTGTGCAGGACTTCTTTAGTATATCACTGTAGGATGAAATCTCATAACCAATATGCTCCTGCCACCCCACTGTCTCAGGTGAATGAAAGAATTTCGTGATACTATCTTGAAGAAACGGAGAATATTCTACTCCTGATGTTGAGCGATAGAATTAAAGCCGAATGATAACACGCTTATTAGCCTTTATTTATAGATTTACTAACGTCCTTGAGGAGAAGAAACTGCCATCCTTACCTAGTCTGACCTACATGTGACTCCAGACTGACAGCAATGTGGTTGACTCTTAACTGCCCTTTTGGCAATTAGCCATGGCAATAAATGCTGGCCTAGCCAGCAGAGCCCTCAACCCATGAATGAATATTTAAAAATTTCAGATAGACCTATGCACCTCCCTTATTCAACAACTACAGTCTACTCCTAATAACTTTTTAGAATATACAAACTCAAGTGACTGCCCAGTTCGTGCCCAGCAGCTGAAGGTAATAAATGCAATTGAAAGCTCAATTACTACATAATAAAGTGAATTATTCCTGGGATTCTAGGCAATATTTATTCCTATCAACATCAATATAAAACGGATACCTGCCATTGTCACAAAATTGACTGCTATATTACCACACTTCAATGGTGATTATGTTTCAAAAGTGTTTTGTTGACAATAAAATGCTTTGGGACACCCTGAGGTGCCTGGAAAAATGCTATGTAAAAGCATTCTGTTATGATCTCTGAGGCTGAATACTTTTAAAAAAGAAATTCAAATTTCTGGTTCAGAGCTGAAAAGATGGCATGGTAACATTTTGTATGCTTACTGTGTAACCAAGGACAAAAAACACTAGTGACTAAACACTGCCTTTTGGAGGCATCTAACTAAAAAATTTTTAAACACAGAATGCAACATCCCCCTCCTCCCTACCCCAGTACTCTGGCAAAACAGAAGAAACACACATCCCAGGTATATGTTGCACTGTACTTTGAGATGTTTAATTCTCAATTCAGGCCAAAGTCATCCATGGATCTCAAGGATTTATTTCCGTTCTCTTCCTTTCTCAACCTGGTTATTTCTAACATCAGAAGTGTCCTGCTCTTAGAAATTATTGCAGACCCTCCTAATGCAAGCTAGGTAAGTCTGCCAATTTCATTCAAACTCCTCAGAAATTCTTGGATAAGAGAATGGTACAAAGTGAAATGTTCATTAAGAGAGTTGATGCAGACATAATAGGCTGAAAGGCCTTCTTTTACACAGTAGTAACTCTGTGATTCTCTGAATTTGTTTTCTTTCCCCCTCTATTTAGCATGAATTTCTACCCTCATTCTAGTGCAGTGAACCACAAGAGGTTTCTGATCTCGGGTTGCTCTTTAATTTCTGCACCCTGGCAGACTAACATGTTTTTGAATTTTCAGGGTTGTTTTAGAATCCTTCCCCTCTTAAATTCCATTTCCACGACTTTGTGCTTGATATCAGATAGAGATGCTGTCTAGCTATCCTTGAAGACTCAATTATTTCATCTTGCAAGTAAATGGACAGTTTAAAGCACGACTGTTCACAATTGAACATTCTCAACACTTGTTTTTTGTTTGGTACTTTGGCATCTCAAAGTAATGTAGATACTTTTCAACTTTATTAATTTCTGTGGGCATACTTTTGAAGCATTGTGGAGATGCCTGGATTATTTTTCTATTTTCAAGGTCAATGGAAAAAAAGACACCATTGCTCAAAAAGAAGTTCCAATTTTTTTCCAATGTTTGCAGGCTTGTTGTTTTGTATTTGGAATGTTTTTTTCAGTTGGGGAATGCCTGCTATATTACAGCTGCTTAGTTCACATATCTATTTCTGAAACATCTTTGCTTTGTGATCAGGTGTAATGGAACTGTTCCTTTGGAAGAGTGACTGAAGAACTTGTCTATGTGTGCTAAGATCCCAAAGATGACCATGCATGATTGTTGACTTGGTCACATTTGCCTTTAAGAATAACCACCATGGCCAGGAAGTGTGTGTAGACCTCAGGACAGAGGTCTAAATTCACAGGAGAAACATTGACATAATGGAATCGTCACTGGACTGGTAATCGAAAGGTCGGTGCTAATGCTTTAAGAATATGGATCCAGAGCCCACGAAGGCAGTTAATGAAATTTAGTTCAATTAATAAATCTTGTCACAACTCACTGGGATAGCACACTGGAAATCAAGCCCCAGTATTCTCAAAGCTGTTATAAAAGTTAAAGTTTGTAAAAGAAATATGCAAAATCCCTAAACAACCAGAATTTTGGACCCAGGTTTCTGTGCTGAACAACAAAAATCACTATTTAGAACATAATTAGATTCTGGCTGCAATTAAACACTAAAATTAAGTAAACTCTTAAAAACTAATATTTTAAATGCCTTATAAACTCTGCTTACACAGACAGACATGTAAATAGTGTGGGAGGGAACCCAGACAGAGGGAAAACTAGAAAAACAGTTCTATGGTCTTTGTTCACAAGATCCATTGCATTGATTCTTACTGATCCAAAGATCTCCTCTTGATCTTCA